TTTTGATAAATTATTCGTTCTTATTGCGAAATAGGAGCACTATTTATCAATCTGTAATAAAAGACGTGAGGAAATTCTGTCTTTTTTAAAGACAACAATTTTTGAATCGAAATACCCAACAAGAAGTTTGTAAAAAAATGAATCCACCTCAACAATATAGAACTTATCTAAATTTCGATTGCTGAAAGCGACTTCATTTCGGTTTGAAGCGTTATTTGGTGCAACTTTTTTTCGGTTAGTGCGAGTTTTTGCAAAAAAAAGGACTGCTTCAAATACATTTTCTACAGGTGAAAGTTTAAACAAAAAAAATTCACACAGTTTTGGATTTCAAGCATTAAGATTTTTTTAAAGCAATTTTTATTTCCAACTGGAGCATGCGAACTTTGCAAACTTGTGCATTTTTCATTTGCCACCCTGTAGAAAATTTATCTGAGCTGCTTCTATTTTGCAGAAAAACTGGCTCGCAAAAAACCGACATAAAATGGATCGTTTGTCGGTGTTTTGACGAAACATCAAAGGAATTTGCCGCGGCTCAGGCTTGCACCATTAGAATAAATTTGACTGCATTTTTTCCACAATTTTCAGTAAAATAACTACTCATGAAAATACAAATCAATCGTAAACATTTGAGTTTAAATTAAAATGCTGTTGGTTTGCATTAAAACGGTTTTAACTTTTTTACTCGAAAATGAATCGTTGCTTGAAGAAAACTCAAGAGAGCTTTTCTGTTGCGAATTGAACAAGAAATGAGCAGCTAAAACAAATTTTTTGAAAAATCATTGGCGCACCATATTTTTCTTCAAGAATATTCCTTTGTTCTTTGAGTTTACGCACCACTGCTGCAGCAACCAATGGCCACGCACCAGCTGTTGACATCAGCAAAACTTCATTTAACTGTCTCAAACGGTTGCGGATATATTCATAAATTTGAATAAAATTCTAACACCCTGTATTTTGGCCTTAACGCCCGAAGTACTTTTAAATCACCCTTGCATAGGATGGACATTTTCAAACCAAAAACACTTTTTTTCTTCTCGAACTTTAAATTGAAAAACCACCGATGGTGCAACTTGACTGCACCCTATTGTGGCGCTTCTGCAAAATCAGACTCGTTCCCATGGCAACCACCCATGATGCCGCACCGCGGCTTGGGGCAAGTTTGCTTGCACCATGGGTCTTGGGAAATAATCGCCGATGTCTTGATGCGAAAAACTAAACTTTCGTACTCTCACACATTGGCAATATAATATGGGAGTACGCTATGCCAGTCAAGTGCTAAATGAAGCACTTATTTTGGTTATTCTTATCGGCAACCGAAATGACGACTTTCTTTTACTGACACCTCTCACTTGTTTACCGATTTCCGTTCTCCTCAAGTGCAAATTATTTATTCATTCAGCCGGCCCTTAACCGAACCGGAGACTTTCCAAATTTCGTCGGTTTGACATTGATCAAATATTCAGCAGGATTAGCGGTAGAAAATACGTACCAGATCACGTAATGACCCTTGTTGCGCCAAAAGTCAAGAGCCAAGTTGCATGCGTTCATGCATGCACGTTCTTCGGCCACGATTCTATTTATTATGCACCGATATTACTTAATCGCCACGGGATCTCTTGTGAGCTTCCAGTTTTCCTGCTGAAATTCTAATCATTTCGTGGCTTAATGATCGGCTTTTGGCGATTTACAAAACCGAAAACTTTCCATTCAAATTGCCAAACATATGTGCAATATTTTACAGTTTGATTTCTAAAGTTGATCTAGAATTTGCCGATATTAATCGCTGTTTAGTTTGGCCACCTGCAGATCATCGCAATTTGTCTTCTATTGGTTTGTAAACGCAATTGCATGCATCTACTTGGGGCTTAATTACTTCTTTGTCTCCTTTGAAGCATTTCTCTTCGGTATTGATGACTTCGTCTCGATTGCTTGAAGTGAAATTGTTCGTGTGAACTTTACAAATGACTGTCATAAGTTTGCAGATTTTTGTTTCCTGGAAAGTCTCCAAGCTGGCAACATTCAGCTTTCGTTCTTGATGGGCCACCCTGTATATTGTCTTTTCAATTATTACTCCAACAGTTCTAAAGCAACAATTTTATCATCGGTTTATCAGCGGTGATCTCGTATTCCTTTTAGCGCAAATAAGCCATCGGGCAGTCAACCGGAGAAAGTGTTTCTGCGTTTAAATAAGACCAAGTCGATTGTGAAGATAAGCAAACGCTGTTCAGAGATCTACAGGGTGCGCCATTCAGGACTAAACTGCTCAACAGCACCTTACAAGTGCAAATTTCTTTCCAGTTCGGTTTCTCTTCC